AATACCATCATTTTGATCATAAAAACGAGACAACAAATATTTTTAGAACATGAAAATCCTTCCCAGTACTGTTTCGTTTCCATTCATAAGTATTTGCATCTAAATGAGGGTAAATCATGGTCACATGGTTAGACGTGTTTACCTGTTAGCTAATTATTTGGTCCTAATGATTGACATAATTAATCAGTGGGACCCTGGATGACAAAGGAATAAAACTGATTGTTTTCTCTCCTATCACAGCCGTCATCATGAACCGGACCTGGGCTTTGTTCAAGGCCCACCCCTACGTCAGTAACGTCCTGGGCTACACCGTCCTGTTCGCCTCCGCCGATGTGATACAGCAGAGCCTGCTGGGAGGGAAAGGCACCGCCGGCTCAGCATCTGAGGCTTCAGCTGGAGTGGACTGGAGGCAGACGGCCCGGGTGGCCACCGTAGGCTTCTGTTTTCACGCCAACTTCAACTACCACTGGCTGAGGTGGCTGGAGAGGATGCTGCCGGGGGCCGCGGTGAAGGCAGTGACAGGGAAGGTCGTGGTGGATCAGCTGGTCGCTGCGCCGCTCACCATCAGTGCCTTTTATATTGGTGAGTCTGTGCTGCAGTCACTTTCTGCTGCGTTAGTGTCACTTTTGTCTATGAAAGAAAAGTCTGAGCGTCTCCTCCAATCAAATCAAAATCACACTTAGATTTATAGACAAAGGCTGGTTCACCTCTTTGATAATTTAACGTATCAAACCTGTGGGTTGCGGTCTAAGTATGGTGCTGTGGCTTAGTTGGTCAAAGCGCCTGTCTAGTAAACAGGAGATCCTGGGTTCAAATCCCAGCAGTGCCTTGCTCTTTCTTTTTTTTTTGTTGGGCACTTGGAAATCAAGTGTTTTAACTGCAGCACTTTCTCTACTGGAAAAATAAAAACTGAGAGGTAAAAAAAATGTTTTTCACCCCCAGGATTAAGTTTATTGGAAAACAAGGACGATCCACTTGAAGACTGGAGACAGAAATTTTGGACTTCTTACAAGGTGATGACATCATCAGTGTTTTCCCTCATGAGAAAGTATTCACAGTTATGATGTAAATATATAAAAATATATGTAATATATATATATATTTATATATCTCACTGTCTATCTACAGACTGGAGTTGTATACTGGTCAACAATGCAGGTGAGAATCTTTTGTTCATTTCTTTCATTTATTACATTCCCACTGATTGACGTTCGTTCACGTTCTACAAACGTTCACTGACTCATTTTTCCTCTTCATTGATTCCAGGCAGTGAACTTCGCTCTGGTTCCTCCTGTGGCACGAACTGCCTTCCTGGGAGGCATTGCACTGACTTTCACAATCTTCCTGTGTCACCTCAGACAGCATCAAAACCACAAACTGGAGTAGACAGAACCCCAGTCTTCAAATGTACCAGGAGGATCCCCTGGTACACTGGTACACTGAACCACATACTGATGTGTCCTTGGGCAACTGCTGGGCAGTAATGTGCGTTCATGGTTTTGTGTTGTGGTCATCGTCAGCGGACGGGATTGAAACGCAGTTCAAACCCTGATGAAGATCACTTCTCTGTGAATCAGATGCTGTCTTCCTCCATGTGGTTTTGTGTTTGTTTCCTCTGGTTTATCAACTTCTCCCTTTTACAAAGTCACAGGACACAGATGTAAATCATGACACAGCAATGTCTCCACTCATTTCTGCTGACACTCTGGTGGTGGTGCAGTTTTGTTCTCCTCGAGGCAAAGACATTCATGAGTTTCACTGGGTTTCAGTCAAATTTGTCCTTGAGTTCCGTGTACCTTTTTCAATAAATGTTTTGTATCTCATTCATTTATGGGTTTTGTTTTTCAATGTTTTGTGTAATGAGTCATTCTCCCTCATGTTCCTACGCCTACAGTTTACGTCTTTGGCTTCCCCACAAACACAGGGGAAAAAAAGCCAATGATTCTTCTCTCTAGTGTCTGAGCTGTTTACACACAAATGACTAAGACAAAATACACTTACACTTCTTCATATCCATACAATTGCCTTGAAGACCGCCTGAAGAAACTCATAAATGACCGAAAATGTCCAAGATGAGTCCATTCACCATTCACAAAATGTTCATTTGTTTTTCATATGGTTTAAAATAAAACTGTATAATTTCGATGCAGTCATTAAACATTCTGTAAAAAGACACAAGCGCCTCATAGAACAGGTAAAGTGACAGACAACAGAGTATTTGATAATTTGCCAAATATCATTATATTTTCAAAACAATCTCCAGAACTAAACATAAGATGAGACAAAATAATAAGCATTAAACTGTTAAAGTGGTGCGAGCTTCGATACTACCTGTGGGGGCGCCATATTTTTTCTCCCTCGTTTTGTTTGCTCACAGGAAGTGGGTACTGAGCATCCAATCAGACGCGCGAGATTTCTGAGCACAGTTTATCGCGAGACGTGGCCTCTTCCTTTTCCCTTTTCGCTCTGAGTCCAAGATGGTAGGTGCAGACATTGAAATTTTTTATACACGATAGCCTTGGTATCCACGGTCATCCTCTAAATTAAAACAACCTATCATGTCAGTAGCAACAATTTCTGATTACGTGTTGCATTTGCTGCAAATCCCTGTCATCATTTCTTACCATTTTGTCCTATAATCAACATTAGCTTACCATCACCGGTGCCGACGTTAGCTTTATATGTTGTCCCTTTCGCCTTGTGGTTGATAAAAATTATATTTGAACCGTATTTAAAGACAAAATGTATTAATAACCGATATGTTTAAAAATATGTCTAGTTCGTGTGTTAGCTGTGTTATTTGTCCCTGTTCTGTATACGGTGTATGTTGGGTCTTAGCAGTTAGCAACCACACGTCAACGTGTAAACTCTATTAAGGGTTTAAGTTGTTACAGAGTTATTTTGTTCAGTTATTTTTCTTCGGCAGGTACATACTTTAGTTGTAATTAAGTGTGTAACAATCTGTCTAAAGGTTGTATGTGGCTGTGTGATATTTGTTGTATTCATTTTGTTATAACTTTTAAAGGGAGTTGACATCAGGCACAACAAGGACCGTAAGGTGCACAGGAAAGAACCAAAGAGCCAGGATATCTATCTGAGGCTCCTGGTCAAGGTAAATATACACAAAATCTCTGGATTTTACTTCCAGACACACATTAGCCACACATAATACCGTATTCTGCTATAGTTAACTAACTTTTGCACCAGAGTTGGTGAATGTTTGTCTCAAGCTCATCCTCCTGTTCATGTTCTTTCCAGTTGTTCAGGTTCCTG